GGAAGAGAAAGGGAAAGGAAGGGGTGCAGGAACTCTCAAAAGTTCTAATAAAAATGGAAACACCGCGTCCCATTCAGGTGCTTCTTGGGTAGCTTCAAAAAGTTCTGAATTTTGTTAAGGGGCTAGATGAGAGCCACGAGCTCAGGAAATTGAGTAAGCAGAAGACAGGAGTTTTCTGACCCATGAATGGTGCTTGGTGCTGGTTTCTGGTGGACCAAGATAGTGGAACAGAGAAGGCTGATGGCCGTGTCTTGAGAAGGAGATAAGGGCTTTTCCCTGGGGGCTCTTGACAAATAAGAAATCACTCAGCAGGTTTGTCTGGGTAGGTTTGCTTTTTAATAAGTCTGGGAATTGCCACAGTCTGAAGGGCTTGGAGAAATCTTGGAAAGACCTTTGAACGAACAAGTCATTTGTTGCTAAGCTGACTTTCCCAAGAAGCAGGCGGTCTAAGCTAATCCGAAAGAACATCAGAAATTCTTGTTCCTTCATTTCTTTGCCGTTTGCCTCTCCAATGATCAAGCTGGTCTTTCGTCATGATTATCGCTGCTTTTGTGACTGGTTATCCTTAATATCACTTTTATTCTCTTGCTTTTCTGGCCTTAGGACATTTAAGGTGTAAAAATGGCATGGGTGAAGTGTTAATTTATTTTACTCATTTGTTAAATTTATGTGCCATTTACCTCACTGCCCAAAGTGGCTCTTAATTGTAGAAATCATTGAAGAATCATAGAAATCATTGTAGAATCATAGAAATCATTGTAGAATCTTAAAAATCATTGCTTAGGATGATTCAAGGCAATATTCCTTTCCTCTTTGCTTCACAAATCATTTGAAAGCAAGGACACGATAATTTTTCAGCAAGAACATCTTTTTAAATAGATGTTTAATTAAATAGTAACACAGAAAGAACAAAACACACAGAAAATTAAGAGACAAAAGACTCGCAAGGAAAAAACAATGCATCAAAGTACTTTTTAAAAAGTAGGGAAAAGCAAGAATATTATTAAGAGCAACTTAATAAAGAAATTGGAATTGGCAAGTTAAATACATGGAGAGTGGAAAAGATGATTAAGGGTTTGGCGATTCCGTCATAAGGAGACGATTGGTTGGTATTTAGCCAAAAATCTGATGGTTTGAATGCCTTTAATGAGCTGCCAGACAGAGGATGGAGCAACTGTATTTTGTGTTCCTCCAAAGGATAAAACCTGAATCAACAAGTTTACATTTCAATCCAAAGATTTCAGCTAAATATTCAGAAGAATTATTGCCAGGATGATCCAGATTCTTTTGTCTGTGAGTTTTAAAAATTATACTGGATTGGGGAGGTGATTTCAGCCAATTTCCTGTATCGGGAAGGAATTCAATGACCTTTGTGGCTATGTTCAATTCTTGCTTTTTTAGAATTTCAGAAGGATTTCACCTTCTGAGATGTTACAGAATTTCTAAAAAAAATAAAGAAAGAAAAAGCCACCAAAACAAAATATCTGCGATAAAAAAAAAAAAGATTGAAAATGATCTCTTCCTGGACAGCCAACTGGGTATTTATCTTACAAAATATACATTCCCTAGTGCAACTTAAATTTAATCTAATAAAAATCCTCATTGATTTGTGCATTGTGTTCCTTGAAAGTAGCATGCCGGTGGTCCTTGACTTATGATGACAATTGAGCCCAAAATTTATGTCGTTAGGTGAGACATTGTTCCTGAAAGCTTCTGACAGTGAAAAGGATGCTGGAGGCGATGTGTGCAAGTGAGGTTAGTCAGTGGATGACATCCCCCCAAAATAAGACCTGGTGCCTTTTTGGGTGGGAAAAAAAATATAAGACAGGGTCTTATTTTCGGGAAAACATGGTAGATGATCATCTGATATGGGTTATTTCTGAAGAAGTGTCCTGTAAAGATCAAGAAGCAAATGTTAGGTTTAAAATGCTCAATTGCGATACTTATCTGGCAATTCTGGCCTGCAAGTATTATTCTGAAAGCTCACTTAAAGTTTCCAAGGATTGGCTTTGTAAATCTTTCTTGAATGTGAATTAATTACCTCCAAATAGCAGAATAACAGGGTTGGAAGGGACCTTTGGGGTCTTCTAATCTAACCCCCTACCATTTCAGACAAATGATTGTCTAATCCCTTAAAAACCTCCAGTGTTGGAGTATCCACAACTTCTGGAGACAAGTTGTTCCACTGATTGACTATTCTCACTTTCAGGAAATTTCTCCCTAGTTCCAGGTTGCTTCTCTCCTTGATTAGTGACCATCCATTATTTCTTGCCCTGCCTTCAGGTGCTTTGGAGAATAGCTTGACTCCCTCTTCTTTGTGGCAGCCCCTGAGATGTTGGAACACTGCTATCATGTCTCCCCTAGTCCTTCTTTTCATTAGACTAGACATACCCAGTTCCTGCAACTGTTCTTGGTTGATTTTAGCTTTCCATCCCTTAATCATCTTTGGTGCTCTTCTCTGCATTTTTTCTAGAATCTCAACATCAAATAAACCTCAAATACTTTATTTGATGCTTAATTACAACATGGGCATATTTACTTTATTTCATCTCCAATTTGAAGAATTGTGGGGCAGATAATAAGAAGGGTTTCTACAGGCCAAACATCTGGAAGAATGCTCCGGATATAGTGGGTAAGCGTGCTAAGAAGTGCCATGTTCAAATCTATATGAAACCATGAAGCTTGATAAGCACTGATTGAACACTGAAGATGTTATCTGGTTGGGCAGTGAAACATCTTGCAAGCAAACAGCCAAGCTCAGGAAGCATCAAGCACTCCCTGAGCTACAGAAATTCTCTGCCAACCCTGAAGTTGGCCAAACGGTGACCTAGTTTTTCTTTAGGGAGTTTCTCGTTCTCGCAGCTTCAGGGCTGACCCAGCCTGGAACGAAGGGGCAAGGGAGGGGTGGATGGGTGTAGAGATAGCTGGGGTGTTATAGCATAAATAAAATTCTTTCCCTTGGGAACCAAGGATGTTGGTGCAGGTATTCGAAAGGTGGAGACTGAGGTCACCTAGCAACTGGACTGTATGCTGATTGGACCATGTGACTGGAGTGTCAGGGTTCCGGCAATTGCCCTAATTAAATCATGAGCCTCGAGCCAAGCTTCAAAAGAATCCAAAGTATTTATTAGGAGCAACATGTCAGCATTGAGCCATATGAAGCCAACTCTGCCACATGTAATTTACGGTCACCTGTGACCCTATTTCCCCCCCTCCCCCCTGGGTGTGTCATAAATCAGATTCTCCAACCACACGGGCTGGATGTCATCAATCACATTCTCCAATAAAGGATTTTACCAGGCAGAAAATCCAGTAGCCTAGGCTACAATCTTTGTAAGATAAGCGTGAAATGTACTTCTGGTTTTAATTGCCGTACTGCTCCTTTGGGTTTTTCCCCCCACCTGCATGTGGCAACTCAAAAACAGGCATAGGAATGCTTTACGAGTTGACATGGAGACTCTGGGGGGAAGTTTTACTTTTCATTGGGTGTAAAACCGAAGGGAACTTAGAGCCGTTTTTTTTTCACCAGGAACATTGGCCATTTGATATGTCCCAATAAAATGTTCTTTGAGGAAATTGCCTGCCTCAGAGTTCTTATTGAATGGGATGTATTACTTAGAAACCTGACATGTTCTTCTGTTGGGAGACTGTCTCTTGCAGTTTTGTCTACATCTGGAAGAGTACAGATGTGCTCCCTGCTGTTCTTTGGTGCTTTGGGGTTGGTGGCATGTTTCAAATATGGCTCTCTCTCTTTAATTCAAGTTAATTCGTTGATTTTTCGGAGTCCCCATCTCATTAGCTTGCTACTGCTACAAAATTGGGTAGGAAATTGCAATCTTGGGTTATAAAGAGCTGCATTCTGCTCTTCCATTGACCCACCAGGTCTAAGCACCGATTGCAGAGTTGCCATCAACTCTGAATCGAGCCTGGCTGAAGCCCCCTTTTGCTGCTTCATAGTTGCCACACACTCTTAAGACAGAGGGGGAAGAGATGGATAGACTGTCTGCAGACATAACAACAAGCCTTCCCGTGGGAACCAAGGTCATCCCAACAGGTGGCAGTTGAAAGAGAGGATGAGCAGGGTGGATTTGATTTAAATCGACTTGATCGATTGAAATCATGATTTAAATCACTAGTAAAAAGGCTTGATTTAAATCGACTTGTTTTAAAGCATCATTTTTTGAGAGCCACTGTCATCTCTGTCCCGCAGCAGCTCCTTCTGTGACCCGCTGTTGACTCAGCGATAGTCCCATTCCCTTTAACGGGATGGCTAGTGGTGTGACAGGGACACAACATGTTAAGGGACATGGCGGGCCGCAGGTGAGTGGATGTAACGACTCATTCTTGCTTGCGGTTAGAATCGTTAATATTATCATTTGGAAACAAAATGAAAGTTTGCTATTTAGCTTGCAGAGCTCGGATTCATTGAATGAGTTTACTAAAAATGTAAATATTTGCAGAAAATACAGCCTCATGCGACATAACTAAGCTTCACTGCATGCTAAATAAATTAAATTATTAATGTACCTTAAATAGAAAATGATCTTTAGATAGATTTTTTTTTATTCCAAAAGCATCTTATTAAAATAAATTTGATAAAAGTTAAAAAAAAAATTGATTTAAATAAAAAAAATCCGATTTAAATTTTTAAAAAGTCTAGTTTTTTAAAAATATTTTTTATTGATTTTTGTCCACCCAGGAAAGGAGTGACTGAGGGGAGCCTGCCTCCTGTTTTAATTGGTCAATGTGACTTGGGACAACTGAGGAAGGAAACTGTTACTCTTTGAATTATGCTCTTAGCGCGGGAAACTTCAGAGTCGGTTTTCACCAGCTGTGCCGATACAATGCATCCAATAAATGTGTTTTTTTGATGGACCTGCCTGTCTTTGGAATTCTGATTTCTTTGGATGCTGTACTCGGAACGCTGACAGTTGCTTTGAGTTTTCAGTTGATTCTAGGAGTCCGTGACGGTTCTCTCTTTTTGGGTCTCCCTCCCCCAGGATGTGGGGCTGTCAGCTGAGGCAGGCACTCTGCAGCGTCCACCATCAACTGAAGAAAAGTTTCGGGATTCTTCCAGCTTCGACCCATTGGCATCACACGGTTCCCACCTCGCCCAGCTGTGCCTGGCAGTTAAATGATGGTCATCTAGGTAAGAACTGGACCTTGAAGGGAAGGGTGGGGGTCAAAGGCATCATTGGGGGGGATGGAGTTCATGCTCTAGGTGCCAGCCGCCTGGTCGTGCTCCTTTCCAAAGGCCTACATTCTGCAGTGAATGAGCTGTGGTGGCGCAGTGGTTAGAGTGCAACACTGCAAGCTACTTCTGCTGACTGCCGACTGCCTGCAGTTTGGCAGTTCGAATCCCACCAGGCTCAAGGTTGACTCAGCCTTCCATCCTTCCGAGGTGGATAAAATGAGAGGGTTAGGGTTAGGGGCAAGAGGCCAACTCTGTAAACCGCTTAGAGAGGACTGTGAAGCACTGTGAAGTGGTATATAAGTCTTAAGTGCTATTGCTACATTCTGTTCCTTCCCCTTCCTAGTCTTCTTGGCCTACTCTTGAATGTTGTTATGCATTCCATGCTCACGTCATCAACATTCACGTCATGAATGTTCACGTCAACATTCACGTCATGAATGTTGTGTGCATTCCAGCATTATCAGGGGAGGGGAAAAGAGAGGAGAGGGGACAGGAGGGGAGGATGAGAGGAGAGAAGGGAGGGAGGGAGGGAGGGAGGGAGGGAGGGAGGGAGGGAAGGAAGGAAGGAAGGAAGGAAGGAAGGAAGGAAGGAAGGAAGGAAGGAAGGAAGGAAGGAAGTGAGAGAGATAGAAGACAGGAAGGGAAGGAAGGAAGGAACGAAGGAAGGAAGGGCCCTACAAACCTTCCAAATTTTCTCATTACATCCCTTTCATGCAAATGATGCCATCTTGGCTTTATAAATACCCACACTTAAGTTACAGCTAGATGTTTAAGCAGCTTGTTCAGTAGACAGGCAATGGGAAAGCTTACAAAAGAGATTAAGAAATTGGGCCGAGTCACAAGTTATACACAGAGCAGCTCCAATGTTTTTTCAGGGTTTCTGAAGGATCTTCCTATCAAAGGCAGGATTAGACCAGCTCCCTGTCTGTTAACCTTTCAGAGCAGGCAAAAACATTTTTTATATAATCACACATTTGCTACCCAAGCAGGTTTTCATTGACCAATTAATCATTTGACCAATTACTTACTTTTAACATGTTTTCATAGTGTTTTAATTCTGGATTTTAACAGGGTGTTGTTGTTTTTTTAATGCCTTCATATTTGTCTGGACTCCTGGCACTGCTTGGATAACATCCCTGGAGTTTTCTTGGCAGGGTTTTTCAGAAGTTGGTTCTCCCTTGCCTTCTCCTTCCCAAGACTGAGAGGGAGGGACCGGTCCAGAGTTCACACAACTGGCTTTTGTGCCTAAGGCAGGGCCATAATTCTTGGTCTGTTGGCCTTTTGACCACTACTTCAAACTGGCTGTCTAACGGTTGCTTATAATTGCCTTTTATTATTTCTGTCAATTCTGTTGAGTGAAACATTACCAAGCATCAGTGCACGTTGGCAATTATTTGCAAAACAGGGCAGTTTATTTCCTGAACATTTTCCCATGGGGAAAAAAAAAAAAAGGCAACCTTTGTGTGTTCAGGTGTGGTCCATACATTTCTGGAAGTATATTTGCTGATATTTGGGGCTCTGTTCCTGAACAAGACCACACTTGGAATTCTGGATCCAGTTTTGGTCACCATCCTACAGAAAAGATGCTGGGACTCTAGAGAGAGTGCAGAAAAACAGCAACAAAGATAATTAGTGGGCTGGAGGCAAAATTGCATGATGAACAAGTGAGAGGATTAGGTATGTTTAGTCTAAAAAGAGAAGGATTAGAGGTGACATGATAGCAGTGTTCCAATCTCTCAGGGGCTGCCCCAAAGAAGAGGCAGTCAAGCTATTGTTCAAAGCACCTGAGGGCAAGACAAGTAGCAATGGGTGGAAACTGATCAAGGAGAGAAGCAACTTAGAACTAAGGAGGAATTTCCTGACAGTGAGAACAATTAACCAGTGGAACAACTTGTCTTCAGGAGTTGTGGGTGCTCCAACATTGGAGGTTAAGAGATTGAACAGCCATTTGTTTGAAAAGATATAGGGTCTTCTGCTTAAGTGGAGGGTTGGACTAGAAGACCTATTCGTCTGTATTCTGCAAGTTGCACGGATGGTAAAATATGCTCATAGTTTAAGAGGAAGTGGAAAGGTTTCTTTCTGTCACTTGTTTTGACCGAGGGAAGGATCTTCTTTTCCTAGAGCTGAAATACAGGGACACTCTGATGCGCTTCGATTACTTTTGGCTGCGTGACCACTGCCGCTCGCCGTCTTGCTACAACACCAAGACCAACCAACGCAGTCTGGATACGGCCAGTGTGGATCTCACGATCAAGCCCCAGGCGGTACGAGTCGATGAGACCACGCTCTTTCTCACCTGTGAGTTTCTGGAGTTTTGTGTCTCCAAAGGCAGAGGGGAAGATGGTTCTGGAGAATGCTTCTCTCTCTCCCTCTCCTCTCTCTCTTTCTCTTCCTCTCCTCTCTGCTCTCTCTTTTCTCTCTCTCCCTTTCCTCTCCTTTCTCTTTTCTTTTCTTCTCTCTTTGGTCCTCTTTCTCTTTTCCTCTCCTCTCTCTCTCTCTCCTCTCTCGTCTCTTTATTTCCCTTTCTTCTCCTTTCTTTTCTCTTCTCTCTCTTCTCTCCTTTCTCTCTTTTCCTCTCCTCTCTCTCTTTCTCTTCCACTCCTCTCTTCTCTCTCTTTTCTCTCTCTCCCTTTCCTCTCCTTTCTCTTCTCTTCTCTTCTCTTCTCTTCTCTTCTCTTCTCTTCTCTTCTCTCTTCTCTCCTTTCTCTCTTTCCCTCTCCTCTCTCTCTTTCTCTCCCTCTCCTTTCTGCTCTCTCTTTTCTCTCTCTCTCTTCCTTTCCTCTCTCTTCTCTTCTCTCTTTGGTCCTCTCTCTCTTTTCCTCTCCTCTCTCTCTCCTCTCTTCTCTCTCTTTATTTCCCTTTCTTCTCCTTTCTTTTCTCTCCTCTCTCCTCTCCCCCTCCCTCTCATGTGCGTGTGTTTGTGTTTATAGCAAAAGTAAAGCTGTTGGAACATTCAAATGTGCTTGGAGATTTTGTTCAAGATGAAAGTGGAGGGGGAGAAAAATACTCTAGTCGGTGAATAATTTAGAGAAGGAATCATTCTGTTCTCATGGATTCTTTCCTTCCTTCTTTGGTCGTTCAATTGACCCTGAACTCAGTAGTTTGTTTAGGAACCCACATGGAGCCCACAAAATG